AAAGAGTCTTTATCTTCTTACCAGCTGCACATTTTCCAACCACGCACAGAATTCCTTGTACCTAGGAAAAGCCTGCGATTTCTGCTTGAGATTGTACACCAAAAATATATCCCAGAAAATCACATCAATATTAAGAACCATGAAGTATCTGTATTTCCACCCAAAGAGTGCTAATGGACCAGCCAAATCAGCATGAACAACCTGGTATGGTTCTGTAGCTTTCAGACGAGACACCTTACGTTTAGCAGCCCTTTTCTCCTTGTTTGCTGCTTTGTCTTTCACACTTCATGTGGTACCTGCAGAGGTTTAATAGTCATACTTCAACCAAGATGACATTTTAGATATATAAAATACAAATGAGCAAATTTTCGATGAAAATCGTGAATACATTCACCATGCAAACTTTTATTTAGAACCTGCAAATACATAAGTGTCATCCCTGCACATCATCATAATACAAAAACAAACAGCGCAGTGGAAAGCTATATTCACATAATAGCATAAGTATTTTTCTTTTTGATGATGCTTCTTGTTCTTGAAGGAAACGTCAATGTTCCCGCTCATTCTAGGCTGTCCAACGCTGAGCCAGATTATGTTTGGCGTCTGGCATCCTTTGATGTAGTGGTCCAAACTGTGAAGAACAACAGTTCATGTACTTCTACTGGGAATGGGTAGCAGTGTCCGCCTGGTGAGTCGCACCTTCACATGGTGTAAAGACACAAACAGTTTCTTATCGTTGCACATGTGGTGGGTGGCCGCTGGATAACAACGAAGAAGAGATCACCAGTCTTCTGGGCCTCACAGCCTTTGGAGTAGGCGTGAAACCATAACTTACATGCTCGTTGTCTTAGACACCGGACCTTTGCGCCTGCCTGGCCTTTCCCGCGCGATAAGAGGCTTTGCTCTGCTGCTCATCTTGGCCTAGGATGTCTGCGTCCCTCTTGTAGCCACAGACGTCCACCTGTAGCAACATTCTGCCTTAGCGCTGGCGTATCTGGTGGTTCACTGCTATGGGATGACGTCTGCCCAGAGACTGCCCCCTTGCCCATGCCTTCTTTTGGCGATCTGCTTCATTAAGGAAATCACAGCAGTAACAAAGTCCACATCATTTGACAGTTGGTTGCACAGCAGCTCTGGAGGATTCACCAACAGACTCCCAGCCTGAACCCAAAGATTGTAGTATCATGAAAGAATACACAGCCTCTGGAAGGTTGGTCCTCTCTGTTGCAGCTCATGTCTCAGATTTTTGCACATCTCCATCAGATGTGCTTTATCTCACCTTCAGCAAGAGCCATATTATGCAGCTTATTAAAATAAAACATTGTGGACCTTCTGTCCTTAAGTGAGCCTCTTTCAGAGCGCCCAAACTTCTCTGGCTGAGGTGCTATCACGCATGGAGCAGAGCTCTTGGGATACTATCAATGTAAAGAGTTCCCTTTTTTACGGAATCCTTAGCTTCCAGCCATGTAACTGGAACTGGGGGTTTCTGTAATCTCAAACAAACCCTCTTTCCATAGAATTGCCTCTGCATACTGAACCCAGTCGCTGTAATTTCTTGTTGAGCAAGATCACAAAGCATCCTGAAGAGCCATCATGACTCTGGCATTAGCCTTCAGCGTCATATGCTGCTTTAAATCTTGCTGCGTCACTGCTGCAGCTGCCTCATTACAAAGGCACACTTAAAGTTACTCGATTTCCCCAGCATAGTGACTTGTGCTGGGAGCCTTGCCTCTTCGGCCGCTTCGGCTTTAAAGTTCAAAGAATCCAGCCATGAAGCCGATGCTTAGGCTGGCAGGCCCGGGCGGCTCTTTGCCTCATCAATCACTTCTCATGACAGATTCCAACCTCGATCCGTCCTCCCTCTGCATTCCGATCCTCTGCAGCCTCAGTTCGACTCCTGGGCCCATAACCACGTGTGATTTAAGCAGTCTAGTTGCCCAGCGGAAGGATGAGGAAAATGTGCCTCACATACTCCATAACTATTTACAGTTCAAAGCTGGTATATTACAGAAAGACATCTTGCCTCTGCAGAGGAACAGAAGACCCACATCCTCTCTCTCTGACACAGCTTGGAGAGAATCACACAGTGAAAAAAACAGAAGCCAGTGTAAGTCACATCCAGTCTCTTTACGTGAAGCTCAACATTTACAGACTGTGGAATGTAAAACAATGTCTTGAAACTCATGATTTTCTCAGTGAGGAAATCAGAGAAATAACAAAGAAGTCGGTGAATCCTCTGGGAACATGCAGAATGAAAGAAATATTTATGCACAGTTTGTCCCGCAAAGTGCAAGGTTCACTGCCTTAAAATAAAATGGAAGGTACAAGCAGATTTCCAACATTTTTCAAATGAAAGCTGTTAACGTGAGTTTGCACAGCAGTTGCTTCCTTGTTCCAGGCAGCTTGTGGTTACATGTAAAGGAACACTGCGCTCATTTGTTCTTTTCTAGCTCAGCGGTCAGCTTGGCCTTTTGCGCCAGGTCACCTGCTTCTGGGGTGTGTGGAGTGTTAGGGGATATGCTGTGATTCTTCTGGGGTAGTTTGTCCACCTTTGGTTCCCACCCTGCACTCAGCTCTCACCTGTGGCTCCTAGATGCTGACAGTGGCCACACCAGTACAGTCATACCTCGGGTTGAATGTGCTTCAGGTTGAGTGCTTCCGGGTTTCACCGCTCGCGCATGCACAGATGCTCAAAATGACGTCAGGATGCGAACAGGGCTCTGGAATGGATCCCATTCGCATCCCAAGGTACCACTGTATACCTGAAGGAACGTCCCCACCCCCATCGTTCTGCCCGGACACTGAGGTCCAGCTCTGAGGGCCTTCTGGCAGTTCCCTCACTGCAAGAAGCTAAGCTACAGGGAACCAGGCAGAGGGCCTTCTCGGTGGTGGCACCTGCCCTGTGGAACGCCCTCCCACCAGATGTCAAAGAGATAAACAACTACCTGACATTTAGAAGACATCTGAAGGCAGCCCTGTTCAGGGAAGTTTTTAATGTGTGACATTTCAACGTATTTTTAATATTTTTTTGGAAGCCGCCCAGAGTGGCTAGGGAAGCCCAGCCAGATGGGCGGGGTACAAATAATAAATTAATATTACTAATTATTTACCCCAGGGTTTGGCTTCCACTAGCTGGCTAAACCAGGTGAGGGGAGCCAATGGGTCTGAAACCTTCAGTGAGTCAGGGACTTCCCCTGCTTGTGAAGACAGGTTCTGGTGCATTGAGCAGAAGAGACCAGAAGTGGGTCCAATGGTCAAGAAGAGGGTTTCTGGACAAGCTGCAGAGGGAAAAGAGGGGCAGATGGGGTCATCCATCTGGGAAGGTAGCCCATCTAGGAGAAGGAAATCTCTGATCCTAAACCTCCATTCCCTTGTGAGATATATTCAGCAGAAGAAAAGACTCAGGAGTAAACTTTGTTAGGATATAGTTCCGTTCCACCTTAAAAGGGTACAGGCATGACGGTTGTGTGTCACATGCCTGTTTACTTCCAGCACTTGCTGGGACCTTCCGTTTGTATATAGCTTTTGTGTTTCTGCTGTTTTGCTGGAGACGAAGGGGAGCAGACATGTTTTCCTTTGTTCCTGAACAATGCTGAATAAAACGCCTGTAATATACTGCTTACACATGTCTCTGTCCGCCTCTTCTGCAGCAAAGAGTTCTTTGCTCTGCTTTCCTTTGGACCAGCAAGGGAGAGGCAGGTCTTGTCGTCTGGGCAGCCCGGGATCTCCGGACACACTGCCCAGGTTTGTAGTTTGTCCACCTTTGGTTCCCACCCTGCAACACTCTGCTTCCCATTTCAACTAGGGCAGAGTTCAACATGTTGTTGTTGTTGTTAGTCGTTTAGTCCGACTCTTCGTGACCCCCTGGAGCACGCCAGGCACTCCTGTCTTCCACTGCCTCCCACAGTTTGGTCAAACTCATGCTGGTCGCTTCGAGAACACTGTCCACCCATCTCGTCCTCTGTCGTCCCCTTCTCCTTGTGCCCTCCATCTTTCCCAACATCAGGGTCTTTTCCAGGGAGTCTTCTCTTCTCATGAAGTGGCCAAAGTCTTGGAGCCTCAGCTTCAGGATCTGTCCTTCCAGTGAGCACTCAGGGCTGATTTCCTTAGGAATGGAGTGGTTGGATCTTCTTGCAGTCTATGGGACTCTCAAGAGTCTCCTCCAACACCAGAATTCAAAAGCATCAATTCTTCGGCGATCAGCCTTCTTGATGGTCCAGCTCTCACTTCCATACATCACTACTGGGAAACCCATATCTTTAACTATACGGACCTTTGTTGGCAAGGTGATGTCGCTGCTTTTTAAGATGCTGTCTAGGTTTGAGAGTTCAACATGTTAAGCCTCAATTCTAAACCCAATTTACTGTCTGACATCAATGATGGGGTGGAATCATAGGATTGTAGGAAGGTGCCTCCTAGTGAGTCAGACTGTTGGTCCATCTAGCGCAGTATTTCCTGCACTGACTGACTTGTAGTAGCTCTCCAGGGTTTCAGAAACTGGAGTCTCTCTCAGTCTCACCATTGGGAACTGAACCCAGGACCTTTTGTGTGTGAAATGGATCCTCTGCTTCTGAGCACCAGACTTTTGCCAGTCCTGAGCAGCAAATGTAGACTGTGGACTCCTGGTGTGAAATTTGACAGAAAGCTTCATTGTAATTCCCAGAAGCAGAGCGAGCATGTAGGAATGAACTTGTGCAATCCAGTCACAGAGAGATTCTTGCTTGGTGATTATGAATCCAGGAAGGCACTTTTGCAAGAGATAGAGCTGTCTCTGGAGCGCTCTGCTCGATCTCCAGGGAGGGGCGAAGCCTGGATAATGAAGCTACAGTGGATTGCAAACCGGAACACTGACAGCCGCTTTCCACAGAGCTGGGGTGGGTTTGAGGGTGAGAACCCAAAGTTTAGGTTCTGGGCCATGCCAGGTTAGAATAATGGAATTGTAGAGTTGGAAGAGACCATGAGGGTCATCTAGTCCAACCCCCTGCAATGCAGGAATCTTTTGCCCAGTGTGAGACTTGAACCCACGTCCCTGAGACTCAGAGTCTCATGCGCTCCCAACTGAGCTGCTCCTCTCTCCTATCATTGGGACAGTGAAACTGTTGGGCAGTGGACTTCACATGATGTGCAATTAATATATATATTATATATATATATATAGAGAGAGAGAGAGAGAGAGAGAGAGAGAGAGAGAGAGATCACCTTTCACTCTAGAAAGAATTTACCCTCACCCTAGAAAAAAATACAGTAAAACCGGCACAGTAAAGTATTAATCACATTTTCTGCTTGTTAGATGAAATTACCCCCTCTCTCCTTCCCTTGCACAGTGTTTAGGGGTGTGTGTTTTAAACCCGAAACCAATTTGGGGAAAAGGGTACAGCGGGAGGGGGGCAGACTTCATTTCAGTAGCAGGAAGCATTGGCCACTGTGAGAACAGGATCCGTAGATTCATAGAATCATAGAATTGTAGAACTGGAAGGGACCATGAAGGTCAACTAGTACAACTCCCTGCAATGCATTTTGCCCAATGTGGAGATGATGATGATGATGATGATGATGATGATCATAATAATTTATTATTTATATCCATCTGGCCGGATTTCCCCAGCCACTCTGGGCAGCTTCTAACCGAATATTAAAAACACAATACCAGCATCAAACATTACAAACTTCCCCAAAGCAGGGCTGCCTTCAGGTGTCTTTTAAAAGTCTGGTAGTTGTTTTTCTCTTTGACCTCTGGTGGGAGGGTGTTTAGGGAAGTTTTTAATGCTTGATGTTTTATTCTGTTTTTAATCTGTTGGGAGCCACCTAGAGTGGCTGGGGAAACCCAGCCAGATGGGTGGGGTATAAATTTATCATCATCATCATCATCATCATTATTAGTTGAGAGCCACCCCCACTCCCTGCCGAGCAGTAGCAAGATCCCAGGGAGTTCCTGACACTCACCCAGGGTCTGTGGTCATTTGGAGAATTGAGTCACTTGGCGAGTTCCCACCTCCCCCAGTAGGAATAAAGACACAAGACACCATTGATTAAGGTTAATGGGCTAAAATTGGCCACAACTTTATTGGTTACAGGTAAGAGTGGTATTGCCTTAGGCATTGGTCCTATCCGTATATCCGGCTTCAGCCTGTTTGCTTGAAGACCGGGAAGGTTTAACACCAGCAGGGGAGCCCTGCTGATGCACATCAACTAGGTACTCCCCCGGGGTCACCGCTCGGGGGCGCGCTTTAGGTCTTGGCCTCTATAGGCTTCGGACGAGGCCACGCCCCCCAGAATCCATTTACCGGACTACCCTTCAATATTTGGGGGAGGTGATGGCGCTCCTCCCCCCAACACATCTAAATAACAATACCCCTACCAATGCCTAACCGCCACTCGAGCGAAGCTCGCCGCCAATACCCTCAAACCTGCAACCAATCCCTAATCCCAGCAAATATGTCATTCAGCCAAACATCATCATGGAGGGAGTCTTGATCTCACAGTCAAGAGGATCTTGTCCCCCACTGCAGTGCATCCCTGAAGGCATCTCTCCCAGCCAGCCTGCAGCCAGCCTGCCCAAGATGGACCCCCTCCTTCTTCCTCCTCCTTCTTCCCAGCAACCCTTGCTCAAGACCCTCTTTTCCTGTCACCTCACACCCAGTTACTCTGGCATAGAATCACAGAATCATAGAATCATAGAATCATAGAGTTGGAATAGACCCCAAGGGCCATCGAGTCCAACCCCCTGCCAAGCAGGAAACACCATCAGAGCACTCCTGACATATGGTTGTCAAGCCTCTGCTTAAAGACCTCCAAAGAAGGAGACTCCACCACACTCCTTGGCAGCAAATTCCACTGTCAAACAGCTCTTACTGTCAGGAAGTTCTTCCTAATGTTTAGGTGGAATCTTCTTTCTTGTAGTTTGGATCCATTGCTCCGTGTCTGCTTCTCTGGAGCAGCAGAAAACAACCTTTCTCCCTCCTCTATGTGACATCCTTTTATATATTTGAACATGGCTATCATATCACCCCTTAACCTCCTCTTCTCCAGGCTAAACATGCTCAGCTCCCTTAGCCGTTCCTCATAAGGCATCGTTTCCAGGCTTTTGACCATTTTGGTTGCCCTCCTCTGGACACGTTCCAGTTTGTCAGTGTCCTTCTTGAACTGTGGTGCCCAGAACTGGACACAGTACTCCAGGTGAGGTCTGACCAGAGCAGAATACAGTGGCACTATTACTTCCCTTGATCTAGATGCTATATTCCTATTGATGCAGCCCAGAATTGCATTGGCCGTTTAGCTGCCGCGTCACACTGTTGGCTCATGTCAAGTTTGTGGTCAACCAAGACTCCTAGATCCTTTTCACATGTACTGCTCTCAAGCCAGGTATCACCCATCTTGTATTTGTGCCTCTCATTTTTTTGCCCAAGTGCAATACTTTACATTTCTCCCTGTTAAAATTCATCTTGTTTGTTTTGGCCCAGTTCTCTAATCTGTCAAGGTCATTTTGAAGTGTGATCCTGTCCTCTGGGGTGTTAGCCACCCCTCCCAGTTTGGTGTCATCTGCAAATTTGATCAGGATGCCCTTGAGTCCATCATCCAAGTCGTTGATAAAGATGTTGAATAGGACCGGGCCCAAGACAGAACCCTGTGGCACCCCACTAGTCACTCTTCTCCAGGATGAAGAGGAACCATTGATGAGCACCCTTTGGGTTTGGTCAGTCAGCCAGTTGGCAAGCTTCCCAAACCCCAGTCTCTGTTGACACTTCAGGACAAGAGGAGACAGGACAGTTCTCTTGCGTTGAATTGCCCTTCAATGGCCCTTTACTGTTCCTTAACGGCCCCAGCTTGGCTAGGTCGTTTTGCGTAGGCTAGCCCAGGAATTCCTCTGCAGCTTGTCTTCTCCCTTCATACCCCAAATAATCAAAACTCTACCATTTATTAAATTCTAGGGGTTAGGGAGGTCCCTCCCACCGAATCTGTAACAATATAAATGAGAGCTGCACATCAGTAGCTGTCAGAAGGCAAATCCATGCATAAAACTAGAATTAACTAGCTTTCCTTAAGTTCTATGGTTCTGCATTTCCTACAGCATATGAGTATTCAAATTCATAGAATCATTGGCCACAATTCAGTGCAGAATAATGCACGAAAAGTGCATTTCATCGAAATCACATGTGACTCAGTGTTGGATCTGAATGGCAACATCCAGATTTGCAAAATCCATTCCTTAGGGGCATTTCTCCTGTCAGATCTTGGCAAATGGATTGCTGCAGTGTCACACCGAGGAGCTTTTAACATGTCTATTTTCACCTGGTGAGCAATGGAAGGAATGACCTTTTGGGATGCCAATTAAATAATGAATGTTTTCTGTGGGTAGGAAGAAACAACAACTTCTTCAAAGGTTTTGAAAAGATGTATTGCTCCAGTTGGAGTGCGAGGTGTGCCTGGCGTTAGGGATAAGTCGAAACAGCTAGCAAACAGAATATAGAAGCAGAGAACCATAGGACTGTAGAATTGGGAGGGATCCGAAGGGTCATTCAGTCGAACCCCCTGCAATGCAGAAAACTAGATCATACATGACAGATGGCCATCCCTCTTGGATCATGGTACAGTCATACCTTGGGTTACAGACACTTCAGGTTGCATTTTTTCGGGTTGTGGGCTGCCAAAACCAGAAGTACTGGATCAGGTTACTTCCGGGTTTCAGGGGTTGCGCATGCGCAGAAGACCAAATCGCAACCCGCACATGTGCAGACACACCGCTGCAGGTTGTGAACACTGTGGGTTGTGAACGTGCATCCCACACAGATCACGTTCACAACCCGAGTGTCCACTGTTTTTAAGGTCCTGATAGCCATGGTCATTGCAAATTCAAATAACTGGAATGTGTAAGGTGATAAAAAGAGCCTTGCTGGAGCAAGACAATGACTGATCTAGCACAGAATTTACAATTTACATGGAAAAGGCCCCTGGCAGCCACTCCAGGCAGGGTTGAGAGAGAGACCCTGCCTGAATCTCAGAGGGCCATTGCTGCCAGTCAATGCAGACAGTACTTGTGGGAATGTTCAGGGATGCAGGAGAGGATATATTGTTGGATTATAGCCTTTCCAACTTGTGTTAACAAGTTCACAATTTAGCAGAGTAACATTCCCCTTTTTAAACTCACAGCGGATGCATTTGCTCAGGCTCGCCAAAGCCTCTATAATAACTGTTCTGGTATTTCCCCCTTATTCCCTCATAAAAGATAAGACATGACACAGTCTTCTATAAAAGTATAAAAAAGAGTGTACTCACATCCTGTTCACAATTGGATCCCAGAAGGCAGACTTAGCTTAGAAAAGTAACATACACCTGGAAACTATCTCATAAGGAGACAATCCCTTTGTCTTCTCTTGGCTGGAGCCCAAGAGAGCATCTTTGGCTAAGCAGATGTTGCTTCTTCGATGCATGTAGTCAAAGAGAGAGAGATGCCTGCCCTCCCCTGTGCTTTTGTCGTTAACTGCACAGGTGAGGCCACACCCACCTCTAGTCACATGCAGAGGAAGTCTGTCCCAGCCCAGAAGGAAACAGGAAGTTTACCTGCTGGCTGGACAAACATTCCTCCCCATGTGTAAACATGTTCACGCTAGGAATGTTGTACTTGTGTTTCACATCCCACAGTACTAAGATGGGCCCCAATATTCTGACTCGGTATAAGGCCCCTTCCCATGGCCCTATACTTTAAACCTTCCTCTTGTTTGCAAGCCTTTTGAAGAACATGGTGCTGACTCTGTGGGCCTCCCCTTCTCCAGCCACGGCTGCAGCATCAGTTTCTTGGCTGCAGACATATCCGAAAGCTGGAAGTTGCACTAGCGAAACAGAAGAGAAGCGGCTAAATATCTGGGAGGTGTGCCGCGCCCAGCGTGGATTGATCCGCTGAGCTGCCTGCCGATCCATTTGTTTACGCAATTGATAAGCCATTGCCTTTATTACAAATAGGCAATCAGGCTTTTGAAGGAAACCCTCTACCGAAATCAATCCTATTGAGCATCGTTTCAGACTTAATTAAACCCCCGGAAAGCTCTTCTTTTCACAAGCCCAGACCCATC